CATAAGGCTGCACTCGGGATGGGTGGGGGCAGTTTACAGAGTGGGCTACAGTCATCCTAAAATTTGCCACAGCCACCCTGTAGTCCGCCTCCCAGCGCTGCTTCTTGCCTCACTCCTCCCAAGTACAGCCCCAACCCAGCCCCCCTGCTGGCAATAGGCTAGCACAGCCCCTGACCCTGAGTGCGCAACCCACCCTTGTCCTGCACAGACTTCTGGGGGTCACAGCTCAAGGGAGCTAAGAGACACAACATGAGTACATTGTGCTTGTGCTCCCTTATACCTTGTACATGCGCTGATTCCAACTTTGAAGAGTGCATAAGGTGAAGGGTCTCCCCACTCAAGTAGACTAGCAAGAGGGGGCACTGCACTGACTACCTTCTACCACGGGGGCATCAAACTCATCTTGCCCCATGGCCTGGATAAGAAGTATGGGACTGAGCTGCAGGCCAGACTGGGCCCACAAGCAGCCCTATGCACCAGAGGCAGCACACAGACCATACCCCACACTAGGCTTGCATGCCAAGTGCAGCAGTATCAGCCCCAGCCTGGCACTTAAACTTGAAGCTGGCACAGGGAACATGTTGCATGCAGCACCTGCACCAGCCAGGCTGAGTGCTGGCTTTGGTGCATGAGGGTGGTCTGTGGGCCAATTTGGACTGATCCCAGAGTCAGAACATGGAGCGGGTCCAGCAGGGAGCCGTATGCAGCATATACCCCAATCAGCCCCCTGTGCCACATGCAGTGTGTGCCTGGTCCAGCCCCACATGCTGCATAGAGCAAGTTAGCCTTGATCCAGGGCTCACAGAATGCACACAGTACATTGGGCGAGCATGAGGCAAACACTGTGTGGGGCACCCACACCAAACCAGCCCCAGAGTCAGTGTCAGTTTGGGTGCCCAGTTCAGCTTGTGCAGTGCATGCAGCATACAGAGCTAGGGCCACTATGCGTTGCATGAGGGGTCAGCCCGAGACCCATGGGCCAGATCCCAGGTCTCCACAGGGTGGATTTTTGATGCCTCTTCTCTACATCAATGACTCTCAACCTTGATAGAATCAAGGCACCCCTCAGAAAAATGCTAAACTCATAGTTTTCACTCATTTTTTGAGTGCAGAAAAATGATAAAGCAATTCTTCTGTTGCAAAAAGCTCAGACCACAACAGATCAGGATGTTTTGTCACTATAGATTCCTATTTGATATCTCTGCGATTATCTTGAGAATCATGTGTAGGTCTTTGTGCAGCACCCTTAAAAGTATCTTGCAGCACCCCAGGGGACCATGATACCCCGATTGTGCAGCAGAGCTACGATGCATAGGACCATCTCCCTCACAGGACATCCCAGGGATAGCAAAACACATTGCTCTTACTCTGGCAGGATCAAAAAAAAAAAAAAAAAGATAATCACAGGATAGTTCTACCCGAGTATGTGCAATGCTGGCACAAAAATTCACATGCCATGGGTTAACAGGAGTACAATGTGCAAAGTAAATAAATGTCATTATTCTGACAAAAAAAAACCAAAAAAACAAAAAACCCAGCCAGAAACTCAAGTCAACACTGCACTGAGCTTTAGGCATCATTTGAAAAAAAATGTGCTTAGCTTAAAAGACATTAGGAGAAAAAGGAAGAAGTTTAAAGAAACAGAATCCATGAAAAAGCATTCAAACGCTTCCATGTTCATCCCAAAGAAATACTCCACGAGTATAGATTTGACAACTGTCTACAAATACAAAGATACATTACAAAACCAGGGACCAATTATTCTTACTAGTCAGTGATGACAAGCAAGCAGTAATGGGGTTTACGATAGGGTAAAGAAAACACTGCTTGATTATCTATTCCTGCCTTAAGATGATATTAATTCATCAGTACTGGTAAAAAAGTAGAGCTCCTGAACGAAAGGTACTATGGTAGCTACAAAATATAAAATATCAGGGAGAAGAAAAAAGAAGCACAATACTTAAGCAAAGGACCAAGCTACCAAAAGGACACTGTGGAGATATTCTTGTCTGGACTTGCCTAACCTTCCCTGGGAGAAAAAAAAAAGTGGACCAATGATCCACTAAAAATCCTTTTTAAAACCAAAGGGCATCAGACAGTCTAATAATCCACGTGTTTCACTGTAGTTAGACGATCAGTCCAAGAGGTATTCCACCGTTACAAAGCGCACGTAATCCATCACTCATTTAAAAAGTGAGAGATTCTCTGTCGCATGATACTTGTTACAGAGTTTATGATGTTACAGATTTTTTCTCTGTGAAGTGACAGAGCCCCTTGGGACTGCCTTACTCTTCTGTTAAAAGAAGTGTAAATGCAACCTGACACGCAGAGGGCACACACAATTTAAAGACTCACTATGTACACCACCCGTGGTGCACCAATTACACATACAATGCACAGTTTAGATGCACAAAGCTGATGCAATGTGGGTCCTAATCTCATGATATTCAGGTGCCAATGCTGTGCTCCTGTAACCTTACCAGTACACACGTGTACACAAGGAGTCAGAGGAAGTAGACGTACAGTGCTCCAAAAGTACAGAGACAAAGTCAAATTTGAGGCTAACTTGTTCACAGAGAGAAAATTGAATGGAGAGAAACTTGAAGTTGTCACTAGACAACTTATACAATTAAAATCAACGTGAATATAGATGGCTTTTCACTTTCCTGGAGTCATCACTCTCCTGTATTAAAATACATCAAGACTGACAGCCCGCTCAGCGAGACATAACGCACACAACATAGATAACGGTCCGCTCCCAAACACTAAAGAAAAAAAGTTTGTTTTTTTTGTTTTTTTTTAAATGAAAAATTAAACACGGCTTGTTTTTAAAAGCAGCACATGACGAGCACCACCTGAAACCTGGCAGCAGCAGGATGGGTGTAAAGCAGTAAAGCAGCCTGCTCGGGGGGACGGTCCCTTCTCCGGCGACTCACCGCTGACCCGCGCTGCTTCATCAGTCAGGCAAGGCGGAGGGGGAGGGGGGGGGTGCGTTTCCCTCCCCCAAAACGGTTTGAATGCACACAAAACCAACCGAAGAAATAAACTGCCTGCCCAGACCAGTTTCCCCTCTGCAAAACCCAAACAATAAAAATCAAAAACCCCAATAAAAAAAACCCCTTTCGTTTCCACCCAGGAGAACTTTGACCGTCTCCCCCCCCTCCCCCACCCGGTGCCTGACGAAGGGGGTTTGTGCCCCAAAAGCTTCCCATTAAAATTTTATTATAATTTTTTGCCAAAAATAATCTCGTGGGTCTAATAAAAGAAACTGCACCTCTCCCACGAGTCCCGACATTGCCGTGTTACTACGGAGAAACGCAGAGGCAGTTTGTGTCCGGGACGAGTCTGCCTGAAGCGGGGGGAGGCCCGAGGCCGGGCCCCGGGCTCACCTCGTCCACGGCGCGGCGGGGCAGGTGCAGCATCCCCAGCAGCAGCTTGAGCTTGACGGGCGACGAGAGGCCGTGGAAGCAGAGGCGGATGTTGTCGATGACCGAGGCCGTGAGCAGCGAGGCGATGCTGGGCGGCGCCCACAGCTCGTCCGTGGAGCCCAGCTTGTTGTGCAGCCACAGGCCGGTGTCGCTCTCCCGCATCGACGCCATCTTGGGAGCGGGCCGAAAAAAGAGGGGGTTCTGCACGGGCATTTTATGAAGACACCTCAGCGGAGGCAAGAAGGGGCGGAGGGGGGCGAGGACCCGCGCTTTTCGTCACCCAAAATGGCGGCGCCCAAGCGCCGACGGGAGGGCGGGATGTGGGAGGGGGTGGGGCCTGTCCGTAATCTAAAATGGCGGCGCCCAAGCGGGAGGGATACAAAATGGCGCCGGGCGTTGCCGTACAGCAATATGGCGGCGCCCTGCTAAGGGAAGCAAGCAGGGAGGCTGTGAAGCGGCTACATGATGATAGTATCATGTGACAGTATCGGGACAGCCCCCACGGGCTTCTCCTCCCGCACGTGGCGGGAGGCGGGGGGTGAAACCGGCGTGTAACGCGGCCGCTGCGGCCTTGTCATTCTCTCGGGGAGGGGGT